TTAATACACTACCTCCAAAACTATGGGATCTTATTTTATTAAGTAGCTTAATGTGTGATTAATTAGTTGAAAAAATAAATATATTATATCCACTGCTTCCCCTTTATCTATCCTGCTTATTACCTTCTTAAATAATTATAATCAATTAGTTCAGTATGATTTCTTCTTCATGAAGCCATGCTGACTCTGCTTGATCACATTATATATTTCTATATGCTCAGCTATGACATCCTTTATAATAGACCTGAGCATTTTCCCAATAACAGACATTAAACTAACTGGCCTATAGTTATCTATTTTTTTGTCTACTTCCCTGTTTAAATTAAGGTGTTACATTGGCAGTTTTCCAATCCTATGGGACTTCTTAGAAACTAAGTGTTCTTGGAAGATTACTGGCAGTGCATCCACGATACCTATAATTAATTTCTTTATTATCCTAGGATGCACCTCATCAGGTCCAGGCACACTTCATTCTTTAGCCCCACTAGTTTGCTTAGCATTTTTTCTCCAGTAACAGTTAGAACATAGAACATAGAACAGTACAGCATAGTACAGGCCCTTCGGCCCACAATGTTGTGCCGAACTTTTACCCTAAGCCTAAGGTCTATCTAACCTTCACCCTTACCTTATACTATCAACCATATGCCTATCTAATAGTCGCTTAAATGCCCCTAAAGAGGCTGACTCCACTACCCTCTCCGGCAATGCATTCCACGCCCCTACTACTCTCTGAGTAAAGAACCTACCTCTGACATCTCCCCTATATCTACCTCCACTCACTTTAAAACTATGCCCCCTCGTAATAGCTACCTCCACCCTAGGAAAAAGTCTCTGACTGTCAACTCTATTTATACCTTTGATCATTTTGTACACCTCTATCAAGTCACCTCTCATCCTTCGTCGTTCTAAAGAGAAAAGCCCTGGCTCTCTCAACATTTCCTCGTAGGACCTTCCCTCCATTCCAGGCAACATCCTGGTAAATCTCCTCTGCACCTTTTCCAACAGTTCCACATCTTTCCTGTAATGAGGCGACCAGAACTGGACACAATACTCCAGATGTGGCCAAACCAGGCTTTTGTATAGTTGGAGCATAACTTCACGGCTCTTGAACTCAATCCCTCTATTAATAAAAGCTAACACACTGTACGCCTTCTTTACAACTCTATCCACCTGGGTGGCAGCTTTCAGGGAACTGTAGACATGAACCCCAAGATCCCTCTGCTCCTCCACACTGCCAAGAATCTTTCCATTAGCCCTGTATTCTGCTTTCAAGTTTGTCTTTCCAAAATGAATCACCTCACTCTTTTCAGGGTTAAACTCTATCTGCCACTTCTCAGCCCAGCTCTATATCCTATCAATGTCCCTTTGTAACCTAGAACAGCCCTCCGCACTATCCACGACTCGACCACCTTCATATTGTCAGCGAACTTACTAATCAACCCTTCCACTCCCACATCCAAATCATTTACAAAAATCACAAAAAGAAGAGGACCCAGAACAGATCCTTGTGGTACACCACTCGTAACTGAGCACCATGTCGAATATTTTCCATCCACTACCACCCTTTGCCTTCTAAGGGTCAGCCAATTCTGAATCCAATCTGCCACATTTCCCCCTATCCCATGCCTCCTCACTTTCTGTATGAGCCTACGATGGGGAATCTTATCAAATGCCTTACTTAAATCCATGTATACCACTTCCACTGCTCTACCTTCATCCGTTTGGTCACATCTTCAAAGAATTCAATAAGGTTTGTGAGGCATGATCTACCTTCACAAATCCATGCTGACTATCACGAATCAAACTGTGCCTATCCAAGTGATCATAAATCCTATCTCTCAGAGCCCTTTCCAATAATTTGCCCACCACTGATGTGAGACTAACTGGCCTGTAATTTCCGGGGTTATCCCTATTCCCTTTTTTGAACAAGGGAATGACGTTTGCCTCTCTCCAATCTTCTGGCGCTATACCCGTGGACAGTAAAAATGAACAGATCATCGCCAAAGGCCCTGCGATCTCTTCCCACGCTTCCCATAGAATCCTTGGATAAATCCCATCAGGCCCAGGGGACTTATCTCTCTTCAAGTTCCTCAAAATTCCTAGTACATCTTCCTTACTAACATCAACCTCCTCTAGCGTACCAGCCTGTTTCACACTGTCCTCCTCTACAACTAGGTCCCTCTCAGTTGTGAATACCGAAGAAAAGTATTTATTAAGGACCTCTCCTATCTCTTTAGGCTCCATGCACAAATTCCCTTTACAATCCTTGATCGGCCCTACCCTTTCTCTGGTCATTCTTTTATTCCTCAAATAAGTGTAAAAAGCCTTGGAGTTTTCCTTGATCCTATCTGCCAAGATTTTCTCATGCCCCCTTATAGCTCTCCTAAGCACTTTCTTCAGCTCCTTCTTGGCTAACTTGTATCCCTCTAGAGCCTTTTCCGATCCTTGTTTCCTAAACCTTATATAAGCATCCTTCTTCCTCTTAACCAGTCGTTCAACCTCTCTTGAGAACCAAGGCTCCCTCACTCAACCGCATCTTCCCTACCTGTTAGGTACAAACATATGGAGCACACACAGTATGCATTCCTTAAACAATCTCCATTTTTCTCTCGTGCTCTTCCCTGACAGCATCTGTTCCCATTTTATGTTACCCAGTTCTTGCCTAACAGAATTATAATTACCTTTCCCCCAATTATAAACCTCACCCTGCTGTATGTACCTATCATTTTCCATGACTGTTGTAAAAGTAACAGAGTTATGATCACTACCGCCAAAATACTCTCCTACCAACAAGTCTAAACTTGGCCCAGTTCATTGCCAAGCACCAAATCCAAAGTGGCCTCTCCTTGTGTTGGTCTATCTACATATTGTGTCAGGAATCCTTCCTGAACACACTGGATAAAATCCGCTCCATCTAAACTATTACAAGTAAAAAGTTTCCAATCAATATTTGGAAAGTTGAAGTCACCCATGACTACACCCCTGTGACTTCTGCACCTTTCCAGTATCTGCCTCTCAATCCGCTCCTCCACTTCTCTGCAACTATTAGGGGGGTCTGTAAAAAACCCCCAACAAAGTGACTGCTCCTTTCTTGTTCCTGACCTCAACCCAAACTGACTCTGTAGACATATCATTCTCGAACTGCCTTTCAGTAGCTGCTATGCTAGCCCTGACTAGCGATGCCACGCCCCCTCCTCTTTTACCACCCTCCTTATTTCTTTTAAAGCATCTAAATCCCGGAACTTCCAACAACCATTCCTGTCCCTGAGTTACCCAAGTTTCTGTAATAGCCACAACATTGTAGTTCCAAGTACCGACCCATGCTCTAAGTTCATCCGCCTTATTTCCGATACTTCTAGCATTGAAGTATTCACACTTCAAACCATCCCTGTGTCCACAATTACGCTCCATCGACTGCAATTCTTTATTAGCAACCTCACTCCCTGTTTTGTCTGTTGGAAGGCTGAATACCTCATCGTACCTCATCCAGTTATTGTATTTATTTTCTCCCTGCCTTTTGCCCCTTGAATATTTAGGATGCTTTTGAAGTCTTCTGTTGTGAAGATGGATGCAAAATATTTATTCAACTCCTTTGCCATTTCTCGGTTCCCCATTATTATTTTCTTAGCCTCGTTCTCTAAGGGGCCTATGTTAAATTTGGCCTGTCTCTTCTTTTTATTACAGTTAAAGAATCTCTTGCTGTTCATCTTGATATTACTTCCAAGTTTACCTTCAAAGTTTATTTGGTTCCTTTAATTTTTTTTGGTTGTCTTTTGTAGCTTTTTAAAATTTTACGGATACTCTGATTTACCCCTACTCTTACCACATTGTATGACAATTTTTCCTCAGTTTGGTTCTATCCTTACTTCCCTAGTTAACCATGGTTGGCTTTACCACTTCCTAAAATCCTACTTTTGCACCGGGATATATCTTTGCTGTGAGCTGTGAATCAATTTCTTAAATGTCTGCCCTTTTTCCTGATACACCTTTGCTGCTAAACTCCTTTCCCAGTCCACTCCAGCCAGCTCTGCCCTGGTTCCTTTGTAATTACCCTTATTTAAGCTTAATGTAGTTGTTTCCAACCCAAGTCCTTCCCTTTCAAATTGAATGTTGAAGTCTATCATGTTATGATAGCTGTTTCCTCCTGGATCTTTTACTCTGACTTAATTTGTTAAACCTGCATCATTGCACATCACCGGATCCAAAATAGCCTAGTCCGTGGTTGAATCTCCAACATATTGATTCCCCTTACATTTAGCACCAAGCTGAGAGCCTAAGGGTGGTAGTAATGACACATCCTTCTGTATGCATCTGAATATGAACAATATGTAGCGGGTGTCTCAAATCCCTCAATAAATATCAGCAACATTGCCTCCACAAAATCCTTAAAAAAAATCACTGGCAGGATGGAATCTCGAGTAACAGTGTCCTCTCTTAGACTAACATTCCCAGCATCTAGACACTGGTTACTGTCAATCATTGTATTGGGAGGACCACATTATCAGTGAGCTAGGAATAAGACCTCCAAAACCAGGTCTCTAGTCCAAGCTTCCTCACAGCTAGTGGTTACCAGAAAGGCAGGATAAATGCTTCAAGGACATGTTTAAAGCTGCCCTGAAAAAAAAAATACAATATCCACACCAACTCATGGGATTCTTTATACCAAGACGGTCCCCAAACTGGAGGAAAAAAGCATCAGCTAAAGTGTCCACTAGGTCCAATATTTCCAACAGACAGCAGTGGAGGCCAAACACAAACAGCATTAAGAAGTGTGTGAAAACTCTACAGCCCACCCACCCACCCCAACAAATACCATCTGTCCCACCAGTGAATCCAGCACTGAACTGCCTAGTCACTTCAGGACCTACAACTCCAGAGTTATCCTCGGTCTTTAAGAACTGAGTAAGAAGGTGCTGTTACTCTTATGCTGGAATGACAGTAAAGTTCGACATCCTGTTATCCCAATCCCTACCAACAATCGGTAATAAGCCTGGACTCACCTTTATGATCAGTGTGGCTAATAGAAATAAGCGGAGGCGAGAGTTCAATGTCAGGTTTGGGTGAGGGCGGTTTATTCAACTCGTTCTCCTCTGTCGTGTCCCCTGGGGGTTGGATTTTGTCCCCAGCGGCTTTCCCATCCTCTGACATTGTTCGCGAAAGGTGATGGAAGTCAAAGACGAGCCTGCAGAACGGGCTCCCTAAAAGACTTCAACCGACTCTCTCGCTCTGTTCACTCACTCCTCCACTGCCTCCGAACCTTGGAAATTGTCACGATATAAACTCTGCACCTGACTGGAAAGGAGCCAGTTAAAAACAATAACACTGAAGAAAGATTACTTTCTTTTATTGCCAGAAAGAACGGGTTTGTTTACAGACTTTGGGCAGCAGAGTGAGCCGGTGAGTGAAAAGAAAATCTGGAAACAGTTGTTGTGGAATCTCAGTTGCTTAGAAACAGGTAAAGCTGGAACAGGACGCGCTGCAGTGGGAAGGCACTACATAAGTAGCCCAGCAACAATCACTGTGCCCAGACTCCACTAAACAGACACGAACTATAATTAAATTGTTTGCATTTTACTCCCCCGGAGATTAAATCTGACATTTATACTCAACTGTTATAGAATTATATCTACCTGAGTCACAAGCGTGACCTGAAAAGTAAAGGACATAATTCAGTGTTCCCCATCTGTCTTAATCCCAAAATCTATCTAACCAAGTTCTGACAGGATCCATCACACCTCAAGGTGCAACACTTTTTTTCGGGGTGGGGGGTTGCGGAAGTACTAACGAGATTTTTTATTTGAAACTGGAAATGTACAAAGCAGATTCCAGTTTACAACCTTCCCTCACATAAACAGCAATTAAACTGGGACTTCAGGCTGTAATTTGTTGTCAGGATTAGAGTGTGACCTTGAGGGGACCAGGCGACCTCAAACATAATCAGGGAAGTGTTTCCTCTTGGTTGTGTTGGTTCTTTGATGCAGTAATCTACACAAAAGACCGCATAGGTTTAGCACAAATTAAGTTTAATGTGGAAATTCCATGATCTTTTATGTCAGTATAAAAGAGTATACAAAAATCTAATCTCACCCAATATCAGAGATGGCAATTCCTTGATTCAAGGATGATGTCTACTCAGGGTTGCAGGAGTCTGCCATGGGTCTTCATATTACTGACTAGGACGATTCACAGTTCAGTCTTTGGGCAAATATCGCATGAGATGGCTTCTGAAGTGCAGGATTAGCTTCCTTTCTCTTCCTTCTCTACCATTGCTCTGCTCCATCAGTACGATGCTGTAGCTCAAAGCATAATGCATCTTAACAGACACAGCACCATTTTGAACAATTAACGTAGAAACATAGAAAACTGGAGCAAGAGAAGGACATTCAGTCCTCTGAGCATGATCTGCCATTTGATATGGTCATGACAGATCATCCAACTCGGTGCCCTGTTCCAACTTTCTCCCCATTTTATTTGATCCCATGAGCCCTGAGAACTATATCTAGTTCTTTCTTGAAAACATTCAGTGTTTTGGTAAAGTTAATTATTTCAACTGTTGTGGAAATACCTAGACAGATTTCTTTAAAAGAGGTCATTGAAAGGGAACTGTGGACATTGGAGATCTTGTTCTAACAAGGCTTCCTAGTAATCATGTGACTAGTGATAACTGCTTGCTTTCCTGTGTACCCCTGTTCAGCTATTTGAATACTGAATGAATGCAGCATGGTTTTGAAATTTGGAATTAGTTGTGGAACAGGGAGCATGTGAGGAAAAGCAGCCCAGCTGATTTCTACTATTCCCAAAAAGGAATCGGTGGCATGGTGGCTCAGTGGCTAGCACTGCTGCCTCACAGTGCTGGCGACCTGAGTTCAATCCCATCCTCGGGCAACTGTCAGTGGGGAGTTTGCACATTCTCCCTGTGTCTGCATGGGTTTCCTCCGGATGCACCATTTTCCTCCCACAGTCCAAAGATGTGCAGGTGAGGTGGATTCGCCATGCTAAATTGCCCATAGTATTCAGGGACATGTAGATTAGGTGGGTAACATGCGGATGGGTCTGGGTGGGATGCTCTGAGGATCAGTGAGGACTTGTTGGGCTGAAGGACCTGTTTCCACCCTGTAGGGACTCTAAGAAATTGTCTTATTAAGTTCAGGGTAAAAATAATCAATTTCTCTGCAAGAATTATAGAAATACTGTCTCAATATTGTATTTCCTGAGCAAACTGTGTCTGTCAAGACATCAAAGAGAACTGTAAATAATTAGTGACTTAGCCACAGGTGCAAGAACAACAGACTGTGAAATGTTCTATGCCTTATTCTTTTTGACTTCAAGAATCCTCATGGTGGCCAGAAAAAATAATTATTTTATGAAATTCTGCAGTGACAAATCCATTTTCTTTCTCTTGCTGAAGTATGCAGGCTTTGGGTGATTTTGAGGGATAAGCATATATATGTTCATATTGCCCATTGCGTGTGTTTACTAGTTATTGCGTCTTCATTGATTAATTTTTCTTTGTTAAGAGACCAATAACTATATGCATTAAAGAAACCTAGTCGATAGATATTTTCATTGAAAACCTATATGTATATATACACATATAAATATGTATTTAGCTGGTCATTTGGTAACTATACAATATATATTAATCTTATTTTGTGACCTGTGGAATAGTAGGACTAGAGTGGCAGCATAGATTTTAGTAGTCTGCCTCAGAGGAAATTAATGATACAGATGTGGACATAGACTGTGTTGGTGATGCAACAAAAGCTCATTTTAGGATTAAGCACAACAGCAGGGTTGCAAGCTGTCCGATTCAGCTTCACATATTTAGATTCATAGAATCCTTACAGTGCAGAAAGGGACTGTTCAGCCTATCGAGCCCACAAACCCTCAGAGAAGCATCCAACTCAAATAAAACCCCCTACCCTATCCCTTTAACTCTGCATTTACCATGGCTCATCCACCTAGACTACACTTCCCTGTGCACTTTGTACAATTTAGCATGGCTAATCCACCCAACCTACACACCTTTGGACTATGGGAGGAAACCAGAGCACCCAGCAGGGAGAACATGTAAACTCCACTCCGACAGTCATCCAAGGCTGGAATCAAACCCAGGTCCCTGGTGCTGTGAGGCAGCAGTGCTAACCACTGAGCCACCGTGCTGTGCATCATCAAGAAGAATACTGGATCAAATAATCAAATTTGTGGTGGGGACCAAAGATTCTTTTCTTGTGAATATTCAATTGGGGGAAATTTCTACTCGTCAAAAATTGGATGTAGGTCAAGCAGTTTAATGAATCACATACAGATGGGTAAGACTACATATAATATGTATATGTGACTCTAGACCCACAGCAATGTGGTTGACTCTCAACTGCCCTCTGAAATGGCCTGGCAAGACACTCAGTTCAAGGGAAGCTAGGCATGAGCAATGAATGCTGGCCAGCCAGCGACACCCACATCCCACGATTGAATTACAAAATATCTATTTAGATTAGTTTTTTTCTTTATTTAGTACTGCTGTTTCTGGCAATTTTCAATTGGAAGGATGAAAGCAACGTGCATTGCTATTGAAATGTTATTTGTTATAATCAACCTTCCAACCTCTGTTTCAGAGAATTAATCCTCGCCCACATTTTAACAAAACAATCTTAATGATTCACAAGAAAGATAGAATAGTTCAGCATGTCCTGTCTGTTCTCATATTTGAATCCCTTATATAGCAAAGACTCAATAAGTACTGAATAAAATGGTGTGAAATTAACTTAAATGATAACATTATAAAATAAGGTTCAATGTGGGGACAGCCACTGATTTTTGCAGCATTTATTTCCATTCACAACTCCTTAGATAATAATGCTGCAAAGATTCCCCATTCCAGCTCTTAGTCAATATTCTGTGGTGAGTAACCTACTTCCTGAACCCATAGGATCTTTCCAACATCTACGCAAAAGACTTCTTGCTTGATTCTGCAACATTTCTCACAGAGCCCACTGCATTCAGGCCCCTACAGGGTTTGCCCTATGTTTCCCACTTTACAACAACTACATTTCAAAGGTAGCTGGCATTAGTTGTGAATTGTTTTAAAATATCTTGAGGCCACGAAACGTGTTGGTATGAGCCATGTTCCTACAAAGCACCTCGGGCATTTAATATTTCTGAAAGCGTTGGTTGTTAGTTGCAGTTTTTTTTTAAATTAACCTGTTCAGAGATGCTATTACACACCTGTGCAGCAGATGGTAATAGAACTCAGGTCACCTGGGTTCAGAAGTGTGATGGAATAACAATGGTCTCAGTTGTAATTTAGTTGGTGACATTCTTGCTCTGAGGCAGCAAGTTGAGTCTTGCGCACAACAATCTAGGTTGATGATCCAATGCAGTACTGAAAGAGAGCTATATTGTCAAAGGTGGTGTTTTTCGAATGAGATGTTGAATGCTGGCCACATCCATCTCTCAGATGGGCATAAAAAAGTTCCATGGTGCTATTTCAAAGAGAAGCAGAAAAGTTAGCCTCAGTGTCCAGGCCAATACTTATCCCTCAATCACATCATAAAAATAGATTATCTCCACAAATATCACAATGTTGTCTGTGGGACTTTGCTGCGCACGAGTAATGTTTCCTCCATTACAATAGGGACAATACTTCAAAAATAATTTGTTAGCTGTGAAATTCAGCAGTTGTGAATGCACTATATAAAAGAGTCTTTCTTCTTCTTTTCAGTTACCTAGATAACAGCAGCTGTTAAAAAAAACCCAAGGAGATCAACACCTTTCAGAAAATAATTGTTCTGCTTGATTGATAACCCACAGTCACCTTAAATATGCATAGAAACATGGAAAGATTTACAGCACAGAAGGAGGCCATCTGGTCCATTGTATCCATGCTGAACAAAAAAGAGAAATACATCCTTCCAGCCAGAATGAAACATATTAACCTTAACTGTTTGCTTCCTGCCACTGAGGCAATTTTAATCCAACCTGCCAGTTCCCCTTGAATCCTATTAACATTTAATTTTCTGATCATTTCACACATCAAAGGCACTATTCTCATTGTCTCACATGTGCTCAATACAATTGAAGGATGACTTCTTTGGTCCTGCTTCAAATCCTTAAATTTGTTCTTCTTCTGTGTCAAAAGATTAACTGATCATTTAATTTCCCGTTTGTATTACAGTATGTAAATTTGTCACAGTTAGCTGAATCTTACCTTTTTTTGGCTAAGTGTCAGTTTTGTCAAGTTTCACAGAAGGTTTCTCTACAGAATGCTTAGGGACATATCTTGCCATTATTTTACCAATGCCATTGAATTAACTAACAACCTGCCTTGTCCATTTAGGTGCCTATTTAGGTGGTACGGCTGATGTTCCTTTGCATACACATCCCCACTCTTTCAACCTGGTCACTGTTTAACCAACAAGTCACACAGTTTCCCTGTCCTTAGCCACATCTTGTCTAACCATCCAAAGTCACCATTACTCTATCCCCAATGCCCATTGTAGATGCACATCTTGTCATTGTCCCATTGGGGAAACATTACATACAGGTAAGCAACTGGCAATTTAAAAAAAAGCTATATGAAGACTGCACCAGAGACTGAATGTATCAGGATCCCCTGATCAATTGCCCCTCACCCCCGAATGGACTGAGGACTAGCTTCCACCCACTTTCACGATGGCCATTTGGTTGAATAAACATATAGTGTGTTTGCCACACAGGGAGCTGGCACATACTGTCCATATTAGATTGACATCCTGGTGTGCTGTATAGCAAGATACACTCCAGCCCAGGCAGGTCTTTACTGACAAGCACAAGAAGCAACTTGCCTGTCTGTGTAAAAGAGTACATCAATATCTGAAGAACGGTCCCGACCCGAAACATCAACTTTCCTCCTCCTCTGATGCTGCCTGGCCTGCTGTGTTCCTCCAGCTCCACAGTCCATTATCTCTGACTCCAGCATCTGCAGTTCTTGCTATCTCTGACATGAATATAATTGTACTTTAGCCTTTAGACTCTGACTGAAGCATCAAAGTGCTAACAGGCATGGCACTGCATGGCAAGGATGCTGCAAGCATGCAGGTAGGCACTAAGTGAGTAAGTGCTAAGAGAGCAAGTGAGCAGCCTTGAGACATAACCTGGTCCAATCCATCAGCTGGAAGCCAGTCCTTGCATGCAGAATGTCCTTTTGATGCAAGTTTCAATGCGCCCTGCAATGTGTATCCTGCAAGTGGATTGTATTAGGTGCCATGAGAATCCTGGGGATTTGGTAGTTATTGGAAGAAACATTCCCTCCCTACACAGTCACTTCAAGGTTCCTAAGACTCCATGCAGGCCAATCAGCGTGTCTTCAGCTTTCAGAAGTGGCTGCTGCCCACAAACTTTGGAGGTCCTGCACTAAAAAAGTGATATGGAGTATTGGTTGAACATGCATTGATAAGGGCTGTGCAGCTGGCGCCCAAGGATTGTGCACTGAGATGCTATTGTATGCTGAGAAAGATGGAGCCTCTTTGCAGTCAGTAACAAGCTGAAGTCAGCAGATTTTTGTTGTCTAGTTTGCACACAGTGGGCAGTAGATGAGGCAGCTGCACATTAATATGTGTAGTTAATAAGGTTGCCAACAAGCAATAATCTTTCTTTATAGGTATCTCACCATTGCCTGGTAAGAATCTCACCTTGACACCTGGAATAAAAAGATACAGACCCCTCTGAACTTCTTGCTTGATTCTGCGACATTTCTCACATAGCCCACTATATTCAGGCCCCTATAAGGTTTACCTTATGTTTCCCACTTTACAACAACTACATTTCAAAGGCAGCTGGCATTAGTTATGAATTTTTTAGGGCATCTCGAGGTCATGAAATGTGTACTTATGAGTCATGTCCCTACAAAGCATCATGGGATGTTTTATATAATTGAAACCCTTAGTTGTTAGTTGCAGATGATTTTTTTAAAAATCTGTTCAGAGATGGTATTACACACCTCTGCAGTATGTGAAAATTTGAACCCAAAGTTCTCTGGACTCAGTGATAGGGACATAACCCTGACACTACAAAATCCCCTCACTAGTTATATATCTATTTTCCTAATCAACCTGTTCAGAGATGTAATGACACACACACACCCCTCCAGAGTAAGTGGGACTTGAACTCGGGCCTCCCCACTCAAAGGTAAGGATACTACCGTTGCGCGACAAGTGCCCTTACCAGTTGCTTGTGGTATTGTTGATCCCAGCCCCTAATGATATAATACATCCCTCCTCTTTCCAGCGTGCGCTCCTTGACAACCCCACTCACTGCTGACCTCACTTCCTGGATACGCAGTGTTCGGTTCGAACCGGGCGGGCGCATTAACCGTTTAATTTATACATCACCGACAGTGTCCGGGCAGTGGACACAGAGCGGGCGGGTAAACCCCTGGAGAAAGGCCGAACCCACCTCCGCCCTCCCCCCGACCTGAGCCGCTGCTCCGATGGCTGATGATGGCCGGCGAGGCGATGAAGGGGAGCGCGGGCCCGGCGCCGTCTATCAAATGTTTGTCACCATGGAGGACCTGCTGGATAAGCTGAAGCTGATGGACTACGAGGAGAATCTGATCCGGAGAAACAACATGAAGGCCCTGTCGAGGTGGGCCTCTGTGGTAATTAACCCGGGAGAGGGCTGCAGAGTGACCCCCCCCCCCCCCCCCCCACCCCCCACCCCCAGGATCTGAATCTGAGGGGAGGTAGTAGGAACTGCCGATGCTGGAGAATCTGAGGTAACAAGTTGTGGAGCTGGATGAACACAGCAGGCCAAGCAGCATCAGAGGAGCAGGAAAGCTGACATTTCAGGTTGGGACCCTTCTTCAGAAAAAGAAATTCTTTCCTGCTTTCCTGCTCCTCTGATACTGCTTGGCCTGCTGTTTTCATCCAGCTCTACACCTTGTTATCTGAGTCTGAGGCGAGTCCCCTTTTGCTGCACACCCCCTTAAATCGGCTCTACTTACCATCTCATTCCCATTTCCATTCTGCGTCTTGTACGTAAAGACCTTTTGAATGTCGAAAGCAAGCAATCGGTCCAACGTATAGGCCAGAATTGAAATATCTTGTGATATTTTTGGGTAGAAAGTGTACAGCCAAAATAGAATAGAATTCCCACCCCACACACCAAGGAATGACAGCAAAGGGGGGAAAAAACTTGCATTTACATATAGAAAGCAAGAAGTGCAGATGCTGGAGTCAGAAACAACAGTGTGGAGCTGGATGAACACAGCAGGTCAGGCAGCATCAGAGGCGCAGGAAAGTTGATGGAACAAAAACAGAAGTTGCTGGAAAAGCTCAGCAGGTCTGGCAGCATCTGTGAAGGAAAAAAGACGGAGTTAACGTTTCGGGTCCGGGTCGCTTGGGGTGAGTTCTGAGGAAGGATCACCGGACCCGAAACGTTAACTCTTTTTTTCCTTCACAGATGCTGCCAGACCTGCTGAGCTTTACTAGTAACTTTGTTTTTGTTCCTGATTTACAGCATCCGCAGTTCTTTCTGTTTTTATTCAGGAAAGTTGACGTTTCGGGCCGGGACCCTTCTTCAGAAATGGACTCCACATTGTGTCGTCACCTGCATTTATATAGCAATGTCCTACAGCCTTTCACAGCGGATGGACCATGTCCTCATTGTTCAAATATCGCGGAGCCAGTTTGAGCTCAGCAATGTTCCACAAAGAGCATTGTAGTAAATTATTTGAGTCCTATGTGAGAGACACATGTGGCCAACTTGACTACTGTTCTTTGAATTGTAGGCAAAATCTTTTACATTTATCAAAAATGACAGATTGGTTGTTAGTTGAATTTTCATCTGAAAGATGAAAGACAGTGCAGCACTCCCTCAGTACTAATTAAAGTGTCAAGCTTGAATTATGTATTGCATCTCTGGACTGAGTTTGAGCTCATAATCCGACTCGGACACGAATGCTCATCAGTGAATTAAAGCCGACTGTTTATTGTTGTGAAGAAAAGCATGTGGGGAAAATAGTGTTTATCACTGGAACAAGTGTGAGATGCAAATCTATTGAAAGTTTTCAAAGTTATGAGGACTTTTTAGGTAAGTAAGTAAAAATGTTAATAGTGGTCCATGTTTCAGTAACAAGGGGTCTAAACTTGGAATTATCCCTAAAATAATAAGGGAAAGGCAGAACATTCTTTTCACTGTTAAAATAATGAACAGTTTCTTTTATAATATATAAATGTGGCAATGATCATAGGATAATTTAGAAAGAATTAACTAAGTTTTTTTGTGAGGGAAGAGTATAAATCATAATTCAATTAATTAGATTCAGTTGAAAAGCTAGTGCTAGAATAAGTGCAATGGACCATAAAGTCTTCCTTCTGATATTCCTCTCTGTTCATCATAAATGTTATAAGCAAATAGACTGAATTGTTGTTATCATAATGGGCTGGATTTTCCAAGGAATGGGAATGATTGCCATATGCCCTTTTTTTATGAAAGGAGAGAACTTCACATTTCTGACAGGAGATCCCAATCATGGCTATTTAAGTAATGCAGAGTCACACCTTGACTCTCATAGTTCTCCTGTATTGCAGAATCTTCAAATTTCCTGGGCAATTCTTTGGAATTTGCTGCATCTATCTTAGAATAACAACTGCCTGGCCATCAGAAAATCTCGGCCAATATATCTATGACAATTTATCCCGATTGTTATGGTCTTTAAATTTGCTGTGATAACTTTATTTGACAAGCCCGGCTTCTCATGTTTCCCTGTTTCAGTTCTACACAAGCTTCTTACAATCAGCATTCTGAAATAATAGTCAGCCGACAATTTTGTGAAAGCTTGAATTTTATTTATACTTATTTTGAAGTTTGAAGTGTTTCATATATCTTTATGTTCATGTTGTGCAAAGTTTATTTGACCTTTTGTAAATATTGGATATCAATGAGTTGATATTTTATGCGCTCATATACTTTATTCCCCACTCCTTCTATCGTGAAATGTAAATCTCTAAAGTTGATCTGAAGCCTAAATTTAACCCTTCTTCCTTGGAAGAAATCCACTGCAGCTTTTTGCTCAGTTCTTTTCAAATCTTCAAATGAGTTGATTTATATTTCTGATCTTTTCAATAGCTTTGTATGAGCTCCAAAAAATATTTTAAATAATGAATTTTCTGGGGAGAGCCAGGGAGGTTATAGAGCATACACGAGATCACAAATATGTCATCAGTTGAAATATAATCAATTTGCAGCATGGTGAGTATATTACAGTAATCTATTAAGTGTTTATTTGAACAGACACTACTTTGCTCTCCCCACAAACCCTGGTGAGCAGTTCTACATGTTTACATCTGTGGCAGCTTGGTTGTTAAACCAAACAGGACGTTTCTTTGAACAACCCCAAGAATATGATGATCCAAATGCAACAATATCAAATATTCTGACAGAACTGCGTGCTTTGGTAAGTCAAAAGTTAAACGCACAGTACAGGGGATGATTTATAAAATATTTAGTTCATTTTAGAAACAATCAATTCAGAATTTTTCCATACCTTTAGAGATAATCTATTTGTTGTGGAAAAAGGAAATATTAGTGTAGAAGGTGCTGAAATTTATTATTCCATTTACTGTCCAGAGTTTCTTGCATATATATGCAATTAAAATTAATTTTTATCAATTGTGTTTTCACCATCAAAGGAATGAATTGTCCCTATAGAAGAGCAACTAAACTTCTTTTTGATAATCAAGAACTATACTGTGATAATAAAATGGACCATTTGTAAACACATGTAGCTTTTGACTTGTGTTGTATCAGATTTTTAAGTGACCCAGACCGTGTATTTTTCCTGAAATTTTCTGAAAGATCACCACCAATGTCCCTACAATCTCCTTTGCTATCTCCTTCAGAAGTTTGAGGTGTAGTATATCTGATCTGGGTGATTTATACACCTTCAGACCTTTCAGCTTTGACAGCACCTCTGCCTTAGTGATAGCCACTACACTCACCTCTGCCCCTGCCTCTTTTGAAGTTCTGGTATGCTGTTGGTGTCTTCCACTATGAGAACTAATGCAAAATACCTATTCAGTTCCTCTAGCATTTCTTTGTTCCCCATTACTACTTCTTTAGCCTCATTTTCCAGTTTTGCACTGTCCACTCCTGTGTTTTAGATATTTAAATAAAAACTCCAGTAGTCTCCTTTTATGTTACTAACCAGCTTATTCTCATATTTCATTTTCTCCCCTTTATTGCTATTTTCTTTATCCTCTCGTAGTTTCTAAAGGATTCCCAATCTTCTGGCTTCTTACTAACCTTCACCACGTTGTATGCTTTTATTTCCGTTGTGCCACCCAAATTACCCCCAGAAACTCCTGCCATTGCTGCTCCACCATTTTCAATCTTTCAATCAGCTCTGGTCAGCTGCTCCCTCATGTCTTTGTGTTAACTTCATTCAATTGTAATACCCTTACATCTGATTCAATCTTCCCCCTCTCAAACTGCAGGGTGAATGCTAACATATTGGAAGTCACTGCCCCTAGGGTTTTTATCACTTTAACCTTCCTAATCAAGTCTACCTCATTACACATCACCAGTTCCAGAATCACCTGTTCCCTAGTGGGCTCGACTGCAAACTGTTCCAAAATACCATCTTGTAGACATTCCACAAATTCCTTCCCTCGAGATCTGCTACCAACCTGATTTTCCTAGTTCACCTGCATATTAAAGTCCCCCACGATTATTGTAATATTGCCTTTCTTACATGCCTTTCTATCTCCTGATTTATTTTCGTCCCCATGTCCTGACTACTCCCAGGAGGCATGTACACAACTCCCATTGGGTCTTTTTATTCTTTGTGGTTTCTCAGCTCCACCCACACAGATTCTTCATGATCTGACTCACTTCTTGCTATTAATTCCATTTCTTACTAACAAGGTAAAGTTGCCTGTCTCTGCCTGTACTTTCAATAGGACAGGCTAGTTCTCCCTGTATTTCATGTGATCAAACCTTGCTAACCAATCTACCATGCGGAATCTTGTCGAATGCCTTATTGAAGTCTGTATAGACTACGTCAATGGCTCTGCCTTCATCAATCCTCTTCATTACTTCTTCAAAAAACTGAATCAAGTTAGTGAGACATGATTTCTCACACACACAACTATGTTGACTATCCCTAATTAGTCCTGGTCTTTCCAAATATGTGTAAATCCTATTCCTCAGGATTCCCTTCAACAAATTGCCCACCACTGGTGTCAGCCTCACCGGTCTATAGTTCCCTGGGTTTTCCTGACCACCTTTCTTAAATAATGGAGCCACGTTAGCCAACCTCCAGTCTTCGAACACCTCACCAATGGCTATCAGTGATACAAAAATCTCTGCAAGGGGCCCAGCAATCACTTCCCTAGCTTCCCACATCTGATCAAGTTCCAAGGATTTAACCACATTTATGTGTTTTAAGACATCCAGCACCACCTCCTCTGGACTATGGACATTTTTCAAGAAGTCACTATTACCCCACATTCTATTATCTTCTATATCCTTCATCATAGTAAACACTGTGCAAAATACTTGTTTCTTGTCTTCCCCCATCTCCTGTGGTTCCACACATAGGCAACCTTGTCAATCTTTAAGGAATGCTGTTCACTCCTTAGTTGTTGTTTTGTCCTTAATGTATTTGTAGAATCCCTTTGGATTCTCCTTAACCCTATTTGCCAAAGCCATCTCATGACCCTTTTTTGCCCTCCTAATTTCCCTCGTAAGTATACTCGTACTGCCTTTACACTTTTCAAGGGATTCATTTGATCCCTACTGTCTATACCTGACATATGCTTCCTCCTTATTCTTGACCAAACCTCAATTTCTATAGTCATCTAGCATTCCCTGCACCTACCAGCCTTGCCCTTCACCCTGACAGGTAAGGTTACCAAATGTTGTACTTCAAGTATTGAAGCTGAGTACCTCTGCTTTCTGTGCCCCTGTTACTGACCAACTAAGTCATTTTGCTATTTTACTTCCTGTTCTATATTTGCAATTTGAAAGAACTTTCATTTTAACAAATACAGAAGATTATGGAAATTGATTTGAAAAGATTTTTCATTAACAGTATATTAATGTAGAAAAGATGATTTGGAATTTAGTTAGACCAGTTCATTTACTGATCGTGTTAATCATTCTACTGCAAGTATTGAAGGCAAGTGAAATTCCTTTCAATAGCGCAGCATATGTTTGTCATGAAATTATTTTTTCATTATTCATGTTATAATTTTCAAAGCAGCCTCAAGTGGATTCTATGTAATTGATATGTTCATCAAGCCAAACCATCATTTTCAAACACTTTTCTTTAGGGTGGCTCAGTAGACTTTCCTCCTTCCAAACTGAAGCAAGGCTATGGAGAGCAGGTGTGTTATGTACTGGATCGCTTAGCTGAAGAAGCCCTCAAGCATACTGGCTTTAATTGGAAGAGGTAAAAACTTGTGATGGAAGTCTGACTAGTATAATTCTGTGGAACACTGAGTCATGAACTTTGATGTTGTGACTACCTCTAAATAAGCATCACGTGTTTCTTTAAATATTGATTAACCCGTTATGGTGCTGCATGCTGGGAGTCAAGACGAAGTAAAATCTTGAGATCAAGTAGAATTTGTGGTTGTGGGTAATTAGGCCACGAAAATTGTGGGAACGTTGAGATTGTCATGGAAGGGGAGTGGATTCCAAAAAAGAATAGGGTATGATAAAACAGGTAGGGAGAGGGAAGCCAAGAGTGAACTGTAAAACTGCCAGAGAGAGCCCATTACTAAATGGCAGAAACCTTTCCTAGTGGAAAATACTATTATGTTTCTGAAAGGGCTTTTGTAACATCTAAACGCCCATCTGGTTAGCAGCTGTCACATTCCATGAATATATTAAAAAAGGATATTTGACCACTTTTTTTCAATTTGTTCCCAATTTGTATTAGAGTTGGTATAAAGATCAATATATACATAAAGAGATTATTGCTGTCAAATAACCTTAGCTCAGTTTTGCTAGATTTATTGTTTAATATTTAATATTGGACATCGTGTCTAAGTGATACCAAGAATTATATTGATATATGCAGGTAATTTGGATACTTTTTATAATAGAAAAACTCATTCATTTGGCAAAAGGATTTCCAATAAGTTTTCAGCTGAAAGGTGGTGAACCAGATGCAGATTATAAGAGATTTTTGGTGCTCTGGAAAGAAATGGTAACATGGATTAAAGTAGTGAGAAAGAAAGACACTTCAGATTTCAGGGTGGCAAAAGGTTGGGACATCCATGGCTAAATAAGTTAAGGATTGTTTCTTTCAATTTAATACTATGTACAATTCTGTGAAGGTTAGTGGTTGGGCAGAATTTAAGAACCAAGACAGAAAAACTATTAAGACCACAAGATGTTGGAGCAGAAGTAGACCGTTCATTGTATCAAGTCACCTCTCCCAATCAGTGAGATTATGGCTGATCTGATAATCCTCAACTCCACTTTCCTGCCTTTTCCCTATGCCTTTGATTCCCTTGCAGATTAAAAATATGTTTATATGAGCCTTGACTATACTTAACAACCCAGCTACGCCAGCCCGTTGCATAGATGTCATAGGGGTATTTAAGGGATTTTTAGATAAGCACATGAATATGCAAGGAATGAAAGGTTATGGACGAAGGGCTGGCAGAAGGGATTAGTTTAATTTGGTGTCAATTTGGCATTTAATTTATTTGGCACAACATTGTGGGCTGAAGGGCCCATTCCTGTGCTATACTGTTCTATGTTCTATAATCTAAAGAATTCTACATATTCCAGCTGTGCTCTGACTAGTACCTTGTATAGTTTTTAGCAAAACCTCCCTAATTTTATACTCCATTCCCTTTGAAATAAAAGTCAAAATTCCATTGCCTTCCCTGTAACTCACTGAACATAAGAGTCCTAAAGCATGGAGACAGGCCCTTCGGTCCAAACGGGTCCATGCCGATTAAAACGTCCATCCACGCTAACCCCATTTCACTGCACATATCCTTCTAAACCTTTCCTAGCCATGTGTTCGTCCAAATGCCTTTTAAATGTTGTTAATATACCCACCTCAACCACTTTTGCTGGGAGCTCATTCCATATGCGTACCACCCTGTGTAAAAATAGTTTCCCCTCAGCTTCCCATGTATTCTTTCCTCTCTAACCTTACACTGATGCCCTCTAGTCCTTGATTCCCCAACCCTGAGAAAAAGACTGAGTGCATTCACCCTATCCATGCCTCAAGATCTTATACACTTCTATAGGATCCCCCCTCAGTCTCCTACACTCAAAAGAAAAGTGTCCTAACTTGTCCAACCTCTCCTTATAACTCAGTCCATTGAGTCCTGGCAATATCCTTGTAAGTTTCTTCTGCACTCTTTCCAGTTTAATAACATCCTTCCTTTAGCAAGGAGACCGAAACTGAACACAATACTCTCGAGTGCGGCCTCTCCAACATCCTGTACAACTGCAACATGACTTCCCAACTTCTATACTCAGTGCCCTAACTGATGAAGGCCAGTGTGCCCAAAGCCGCCTTCACTGCCCTGTCTACCTGTGACTCCACTTTCAGAGAACCATGCACCTGAACTCCAAGGTCCCTCTGTTCCACTACACTCCTTAAGACCCTACCATTCACCATGAAACTCCTACCTTGATTTGACTTTCCAAAATGCAACACCTCACGCTTATCTTTATTAAATTCCATTTGCCATTTCTCGGCCCTCTTCCCCAGCTGATCAAGATCCTGCTGCAATTTCTGATAACCTTCCTCAATGTCCACGATACCGCCTTTTTTAGTGTCATCCACAAACTTACTAATCATACCTTGTACATTCTCATCGAAGTCATTGATACAGATAACAAACAGTAATGGGCCCAGCACCAACCCATGAGGCACACCACTAGTCACAGGCCTCTTGTCCGACGAGCATCCTTCCACTATTGCTTTTTGCTTCCTACCATCAAGCCAATTGTGTATCCAATTTGCCAGTTCTCCCTGGATTCCATGTAATCTAACCTTCCAGAGCAGCCGACCTTTTCAAAAGCCTTTCTGAGATCCATATAGACTATGTCTACCAGCCTGCCCTCATCAGCCTTCCTGGTCACTTCGTCGAAGATCTGTAACAAATTTGTGAGGCATGATCTCCCGCTCACCAAGCCACGCTGACTATTCCTAATCAAACCTTGCCTTTCTTAATGATTGTATATCTTATCTCTCAGAATCTTCTCAAGTAACTTACCTACCACAGATGTTAGGCTTACTGGTCTATAATTCCCAGGTTTTTGGAACCTCACTTGTGGCTAACAGTGATGCAAATATATCAGCCAGGGCCCCCACAATTTCTTCTCTATCCTTTTTCAGGGTTCTTGGATATATCTGGTGAGGACCGGGAGATTTATCCACCTTCATACATTCTAATACGTCCAACACCACCTCTGCTGTCCCCAAGATGTTGCCACTAATTTCTCCAAGTTCCAAAGTCTTCATGTCTTTCTCCATGGTAAACACAGAGGAGAAATATTCATTGAGGACCTCACCCATCTCCTACAGATCCACACCTACATGTCCACTTTGGTCCTTCGGGGTTCCTATTCTCTCTCTAGTTATTCTTTTTCCTTTAATATACTTAAAGAATCTCTTTGAATTCACCCCAATCTTTTCATCAACTTGGATGTTAGCTTTTTGTGATTCATGGATGACAGCGCTTAAATCCCTCTGTTGTGTGGCTTTCTGCAGTCTTTCTCTATTTAAATCATCGTCAGTTCGTATATTCTTCCTGCCAAAGTACATTACATCACATCTTCCCACATTATATTCCATCTGCCTAGTTTTTTGATTGATTTGCTTAACCTATCAGTATCCCTACACAACAAGGTGCAGAGCTGGATGAACACAGCAGGCCAAGCAGCATCATAGGAGCAGAAAGGCTGACGTTTCGGGCCTAGACCCTTCATCAGAAATGTCCGAAACGTCAGCCTTTCTGCTCCCTATGATGCTGCTTGGCCTGTTGTGTTCATCCAGGTCTGCACCTTGTTGTCTCGGATTCTCCAGCATCTGCAGGTCCTACTATCTCTGATTCAAGTATCCCTACACAGACTCTTTATGTCATCTTCACCATCTAAGGGCTTACAGAAAGGGAGAAATTAGCGTAGCTCATGTGCATGTTCTTCAGAACTTACTTTCCTACCATCTTTGTGCCACCAGCAATTTTGTCAACCATCACTTGCTATTAGCTTGCCAAACTGCTATCCATGCCAATATGCTACCATTACACTGTAAGCTTTTATTTTCTCTCAATCTTTTTGATGTGGCATTTTATCAAATGCATTCTGGAAATCTAAGTACAGAACAACCCTCATTCTCTTTTATCGCAGCACATTCTACTTCCTAAAGAACTCCATTGGATTAGTTAAACATGATTTCCCCTTCACAAAAACACATTGACTCTATCTTGAACTTATGTAAGTGGCCTGCTCTAACTTCCTTAATAATAGCTTCTAACATTTCCTCTATGACAGATGTTAAGCTAACTAACATGTAGTTTTCTACTTCCAGTTTTTCTAAAATTATCTTTCAGAATTTGGAGAGCTGGCATTCATGAATACCAAAGTACAATTTACAATTAATCTTCTAGAAATAGATAAGTTTTTTTTTGAAGTCTTTGATAGCTGTCACATTGATAAAAATGACATCCGTTATTGTCATTTGCTAGTTATGCTATTTGAAAGTAAAACCATCCCAATATCTTCACAATTAAATGTGTGATAAGTATGACATACCCAGGAATGAGTTCCAATTTTAATCATAACTGTATTAATTTAGACCTGTGTATCCAGCAGAGGAGATGGAAGAGGAAGCATTAATGGAAGATGATGCTGAATTGACATTGAATAAGCTGGAAGATGAGCTGATTGTAAGTTATAGTTAATCATTTGCAAATTTTCATTATTTTGATTTTCAAAACAACTATTTATTAATGTCCTTTATACTACCCCTATCCCAGTCTATGTTCAGGGAATTAATGTCCCCCATCTTAGCGACCTCTCTGATCCTTGTAGATTTATTCCTCTAAATCCTTCCCACCAGTTGGTGGTTTGTAGTCTGCTCCGAGTAATGTAATTGCACCCTTCTTGTTCCTAGCCAAATGTTCCTTGAACCCTCCAAGGCATCCTCTTTCTCCAGTACTGCAATGCTTTCTTTAACCAATGCTGCCACCCCTCCTTTTAGTTTTTCTGAACTTTTTTTTCTGAATACCCTGTTATCCAGGAATATTTAACACCCAGTCTAGCACTTCTTTGAGCCAGGTCTCCGTTATAACTCCACATGGATATCTGCGCCCGGAACTACCAAATTTATTACTGTATTCTGTGCATTCACATACATACGGTGTAATCTGATTTAGAATGTTTTAATTTCTTCCTTATTCTGTTTCTACTTATTAATTTACAATTCTGTATTCTAATGCTGTCTGTCTCTCTCAGTATTTTGTGCACCCAGTTATTAATCTTTCATAATCTTTCCTCTTCCCTGCATCCTGCAAAGCCTCCCGAATAACAGCAGCAAAATGCTCCACAAGGAACTCATTTCCAACTTTGATCAAGTGTAAATTGCCCTGCCCGTGCAAATGCCATCATCTCCAGAGCCAGTTCTAGTGTCCCAGGAACTTGGAGTCCTCACTCCCGCACCATCTTTCCAGCCACTATTTAGCTGTCCTATCCTCTTATTTCTGTATTCATTTCTCTGTGGTACTGGGAGTAATCGAGTGATAATTACTTTTGAGGTGCTCCTTATTGGTTTTCTGCGTAGCTGCCTAAATTCTGATTTCAGGACCAAATCCCCTTTCTTCCTAAATCATTGTTCCCAACATGGAACACATCTTCGGGCCGAACACCCTCCCCTAAAAGAACATCCTGCGACCATTCTGTGACACCCTTGAAAATCACAGCAGTTTATCTCGATGTTGAGATTCTGACTTTTTACATTGCTGCTGCAATCTCTCAGCTTTCTAGCTATTTCCCATGCCACACCAGAAAAGGGACATGTTCACCCTATATACAATATTATTGTGTTGTGTGACTACCAGGGTGATAGAAGCCTGAGTAGATGGGCCTATCTTTCGTCTCTAATATTTATACTTTCCTGTAATTCTCACAGTAGGTGACAGTTTCTGAAATACTCTGTGTCAGAAAAAAATTCCAAAATACAGTGAAAAGAAAATTGTTCAGTAATTTTTGACAAGGTTAAATTTAATTTTATTAATTTAACCTATTTCCCTGGAACTGACTTTCAGGAAGAAGCAGACGATTTTGAAGAAGGGGAGTCTTTCCTAGATTTGGAGATTCTGAAAGCTCAGGGACAGAAAATGGTGAGATTTTCTCAATAAACTTTTATATCTTCAGTGATGGTGTCCCTAGCTTTCCTGTCAAACTGTTTACAGGTAGAGGTAATATACCTCAAATTTGGAGAGGTGAATACTGGCAGTGTCTGAAAACCAGATGTTTTTGACATCTTCTATGCATTAATTTTAATTCAGTAAAATTTAAAAGTAAAATTTACCAGTACAACTTGGTACAGCACTCCATTCACACAGTTTGGTTCCTGACTATTTGTGGGCTTCACCTATCTCTTACATCCTGCACTCCATATGACCCTTGACCCCTCCCAATCTAACTTGACTTGAACCACCTGACCTGAAACTCAATGTCTGAAATGTAGCACAGCATTGATCTCATAAGTTCCAGATTTTAGGTACTGTATATTTGTAACATTTGTATTCCTGCTGTTGAAATGTTCTCTGACCATTAGGAATATGAACCCTTTTATGGTTTCTTTCGCCAAGCTCAGGTACACTACTTTTAGAATGTCTTGTCATGTACTGTTTAATGTTCCTAGCCATCAAAAAGAAGCCGAGTTAATCATGCACTGTGGACAAGTTTGTATAAATTCTGTTATCTGAGCCACTTGAATTTTTGGTAGCATTGTTATAAATCTAACAGAGAGAATGTTACAAATTCAAGCTTTAATATTGCTTTAAATTTGTATTTACCTTTTTTAAATTGCTTTGTTTCAGTTTGTCTGTTTTAACCCGTGAAATTAGTTTAAATCTTGACCATGTAATGGGATTATTGCTCTAGTTATGATATGGTGCTTGCTAAAAGAGAACTTCAGTATTATTTAAGCAAATTAAATGTTCCCATCAGCACTAATTTTACAAATTGAGCAATTTAGCTGAAAGCTTTGTTTTATACTGTTTCTTTTGTGTACTTTCATTTAAACACTGAATATTATGACTGTAATTAATGAAATGACCTCAGCAGTGAAATTTGCATGTGTTGAAATTACCTAATTGCCCTGGTTGGAGCACGACAAAGGCCTGCAACAGGAAAGGGGTGTTTGGAGGGAGGGAGACCCTGTCTGTCGGCTGCTGCTTCACTGACTACCCTGGGGGAAATGGGTGAGTGGAACATCATATTAATGCAGATGTTGGAACAATAATCCAGTTCATTCTGTTGAATGAGAGTAGAGAAATAATGTTATTGTCTGACTTATCAAAAACATTTAATCTTTAGGAGGCGTTGGAGTCTACAAAACCAGAAGAGATTTTAGAATCAACAACAGATGCTGCTGAATGGAATCTCGAAGTCGAACGAGTTCTCCCACAACTTAAAGTTACCATCAGAACTGACAACAAGGTATGTTATTTGAATTAATTGGTGAAAACCATTCTGAACCATATCTTGGGCTCATCAGGGGCTACCATGGTTTCCAGTTTTTTGGAATTTCTCTATTTTGTAAGTTTAACTAATTAAATATTCAGATTACGTAATCCAGTGTTGCACTATAAAAAAATTTGTAAATGGAATCAAAAGTATTGATTACGCTTCAATACTTTTTTTAGTGCACCTGACAACCATAGCCTTTCTAAACACTTTTTATCAGTGAAGCATTCGAAGTTTGTATAATGTTTAATATTTAACTATGGTATGGAGTTTTATGTAGTAACTTGATTGAAGTTCTTTGTTAAAAACACTTTGCATTCATGTAGTATCTTTTATGATTACTGAACATCTCAAAGCACTTTACAGCTGATACTATACTTTGATGTGTAGTTACTATTGTAATGTAGGAATTATGATAGCCAGCCCTTCAATCTGTCACAAATAGCAATATGCTAATGACTGAAATCTGTTTTGTGATGTCGATTGAGAAATACATATCAACCAGAGCTGCGGGGATAGCTCTCCTGAAAAGATAATATCCACCACAAGCTTCAATTTCTTCATATTTTGGTTATGTACTTCCCCTCCATTTGTACCACATTGTTTTGCTGAGGCTCCTTATGTTAAATCTTATAAATGTGAAATTGTGACTTCCATCCATTCTTTCTTTTAAAGGTTGAAAGATACTCTCCTTTCAGATATTGTCAAATATTTTATTCTCAGGTGTTCCTAGATGTTCATAGATATTCTAAAATAGCTCTGAATAGCATCAAACTGGATTACATTGGATTTGATGTAAAGCAGAATCTTAGAGTTATACAGCATAGAAACAGACCCTTCGGTACAACTCATCCATGCCAACCAAATATGCTAAAGTTATCTAGTCCCATTTGATCCATATCCCTCTAAACCTTGCCTATTCATATACCCATCCAGATGCCTTTTAAATGTTGTAATTGTACCAGCCTCCATCACTTGGTCTGGCAGCTTGTTCCTTACGTGCACTACCCTCTGTGTGAAAAAGTTGCCCCTCGGGTCCCTTTTAAATTTTTCTCCTGTCACCTTAATCCTATGCCCTCTAGTTTGGAGCTCCCCTGCTCTGGGAAAAAGACCTTGGCTATTCATCCAATCCACGTCCTTCATGATTTTATAATCGTCTAAAAGGTCCCCTCGCAGCCACTGTCGCTCTGGAGGAATAAAGCCCCAGCCTATTCGGCCCCTCCCTATAGCTCAAACGTTCCAATCCTGGTAACATCCTTGTTAATATTTTCTGAACCCTTTCAAGTTTAATAATATCCTTCCTATAGCAGGGAGACCAGAATTGAAATCAGAATTCTAAATTTGGCCTGACCCATGTCCTTCACAGCCGCAACATAACATCCCAACTTCTATACTGAATGCACTGACCAATGAAGACAAGCGTGCCAAACGCCTTTTTTGCCACCTTGTCTACCTGTGACTCCACGTTCAAGGAGCTATGCACCTGCACTCCTAGGTTCCTTTGTGCGGCAACACTCCCAGAGCCCTACCATAGATTGTATAAGTTCTATCCGGATTTTCCTTGCCAAAATGCAACACCTCATATTTATCTAAGTTAAACTCCATCTGCCACTCTGTGGTCAATTGGCACAGCTGATTAAGGTCCCATTGTACTCTCAGTTAACCTTTTAGTGTCATCTGCAAACTTACAAACTATACCTCCTATGTTCACATTCAAATCATTTATATAAATGATGAAAAGCAGTGGACCCAGCACCAATCTTGCAGCACACCACTGTCACTTCTTCAAAAAACTCAACCAAGTCAGTGAAACACAATTTCCCACACTCAAAACTATGTTGACTCTCCCTAATCAGTCCTGGCCTTTCCAAATACATGTAAATTCTGTCTTCAGAATTGCCTCCAACAACTTATCAACACTGACGTCAGACTCACCAGTCTGTAGTTCCCTGGCGTGTCCTTACCAGCTTTCTTGAATAATAGCACGACATTCGTCAACCTCCAGTCTTCCGGCACCTCACTTGTGGCTACTGATGATACAAATATCTCAACAAGGAGCCCAGCAGTCTCTTGCCCAGCTTCCCACAGAGTTCTGGGACACACTTGATTATGTCCCAGGGATTTATCCACCTTCATGCAAAGATGTCCAGCACCTTCTCTTCTGTAATGTGGATACTTTTCAAGATATCACTATTTATTTCTCCAAGTTTTCTAGCTTCCATGTCCTTCTCCACAATAACTACTAACTCAAAATACTTGTTTAGTATCTCAACCATTAACTGTGGTTTCACACACAGACTGCCTTGATGATCTTTAAGGGGCCCTATTTTCTCCCTAGTTACGCTTTTTCCCTTAATGTGTTGGTAGAATCTCTTTGGATTCTCCTTAACCCTATATGCCAAAGATATCTCATGTCTCCTTTTTGCCCTCATGATTTCCCTCTGAAGTATATTCCTACTGCCCTTATTCTTCTCTAGGGATTCACTTGATCCCAGCTGTCTATACCTGATCATGCCTCCTTTTTCTTGACCAGTACCTTAATTTCCCTAGTTATTCGGCATTCCCTACATCTCCCAACCTTTACCCATCACACAAACATCTCATTTTAAAAGGCCTCCCACTTTCCACCTGTCCCTTTATCTGTGAATAAGCTCTCCCAGTCAACTTTTGAAAGTCCTTGCCTGATACCGTGAAAAATTGACCTGACTCCAATCTAGAACTTTAACTTTTAGATTAAGTCTATCCTTTTCCATAACTATTTTAATACTAATAGAATTATGATCACTGGCCCCAAAGTTCACCCCACTGACCCCTCAGTCACTTGCCCTGCCTTATTTCCCCAGAGAAGATCAAGCTTGCTCCATCTGTAGTAGCTACATCCACATGCTGAATAAAAAAATTTTCTTTTATGCACGTAACAAATTCCTCTCCATCCAAGCCCTTAACACTACGGCAGTCCCAGTCTATGTTTGCAGAGTTAAAATCCCCTACCATTGCAACTAACATTCCTGCAGATATCTGAGATCTCTTTACATATTTGCTTGTCAATTTCCAGCTGACTATTGGGGGGGCCTATAGTACAATCCAAATAAGGTGATCATCCGTTTCCCATTTCTCATTTCCACCCATTTTACTTCACTGGATGTTGTCCCAGGAATATTCTGCCTAAGTACAGCCGTAATGCTATCCTTAACCAAAAACGCTACTCCCTCTCCTCTTTCTATCCTTCCTATAGTATCCAAACCCTGTAACATTAAACTGCCAGTCCTGCCCTTCCCTGAGCCACCTTTCTATAATAGCTATGATATCCCAGTCCCATGTTCCCAATCATGCCCTGAGTACGTCTGCCTTACGCGTCAAGCCTCTTGCTTTCAAATAAATGCAATTTAATTATCTTTCTTACCTTATTCACTGCCTTGCTTTTGCCTGCCTTGAATATTTAACTTGCTCTTCATGTTTAGTGTACCAGCCTCAGGCTTAGCTCTTTTCTGCTTGTTTCTTTGGGTCCCACCCCCCATCTTTTAGTATCTTTTGGTATAGCAGTATACTTATCCACTAAGTATGTTGATTATTAATATCTCGGAATAAAACAGCAAAATTAGTAAATTGTTTCATTTAAATTTTTCTGTTACAACTGAAGTGAACTCTAATATCTGATGCATTTCCTTAAGTGGGGAGGTATATTTTCTGAGTACAGAAATCCCAAATCCTTAAAATAGCCAAGAAGTTTACAGCGTAGCTAAGGTTTATTAAAATTAGGCAGGCTATTTGGAGGAAGATAACATTCATAGGCAGCTTTGTCTCCTGTGGGATGGTTATGTGAATCCTACGAACCTAAGACTTAGCATTTGTGGAATTGACTAGCTTGAAATTGGTAGACAGAGGTTATCAAGGAAATACGCTTGATGTAATAGCTCTAAGTAAAAGTTAAAAGCTATAAACCACTTCAAAGGTACATGCACATCTCAATCCAGGAATTGATTACAAAAATCAAAAGCTGGCACTTGTTGACTGTTGGAAGTAATCTTTGAAATGAGATGTTAAATTAAGATCATATTTGCCTGAACTGCTGGATGCAGAATGTCCTATATCAATATTTCAGAGAAGAGCAGGGTGAACTGGCAAATATAGCCCTCAATCAACATCCTAAAAAAAAAACATCCGGTTTACCACATTGCTGCTCATGAGAGTTTGCTGTGCACAAGTTGGCTGTGATATTTCCTATATCACAGCAGAGGCAATTATTTCAACTCTTTGGCTGTAAAACATTTTGAGATGGTTGGTGATCTTAAAAAATGCACTATAAAAGTCAAGTTTTATTTTGTTCGTCCTAGTTCAATCAAATATAATCCTCCATGTAAAATAAAATAAACTATATGTTTTTCTGTGAAATCTGGAACATTTAAATTTTTAAATGTCCATTATGTATGCTGAGGCAGCTGTGCAAAAATGTTCAAAAACTCTGTAAAATAAGCATGACGTTATTTCATTTCATAACCTTATCCTCCTCCAGAGAACGGAACAGATTTTGCCAGCGAGAGAGCTATCAGGTGTTTCATCAATAAAACTGTTCAAAACCTACAACCTTTCACAACTTTCGGCCACCCCAAAGCATTTTTCAATAGACCGGTGCTTGTACAAAAATTGGCAAAAAATTTCAATGGGATAAGTGCCAACATCCAGCAATTAAACAAATGAGACAGATACTATGTTTTAGGGATGAATATTGCACAGAACATCAAAAGGACTGCTCTGCTTTTCAGATAATGTCACAGAATCTTATCTATCCTTTAGAGTGGACATAAGAGATTTAACATCTCATCGCAATGGTAACACATCTAACTGTGAAGCACTTTTTAGTGCTGATTGAAATGCTAGCCTATAATATGTGTTTAAATCTAAGGTAGAACTTGAATACAGAACCTTCTGATTCAGGAGAGAGTGGTACTGTTTGAAGATAATCTAGATTGATTCTAGGGAGGTCGTACATTTCACAAATAAGAGTTTTGAGTCCTAAGATCCAAAACAATAGTCTGTAACTAGTTTTGAATTCCTGTAGCTCCCTAATGCTACATGAATCATTTCTTTGCCAAACCTCCACTGGGTGCATGTACCTGAGATGGCACTGAGGAGTAAGAAAGCAGGTGAAACAAGTAATGACATTGAGAGAAAGACATTGGGGCAAGGAACATGACTAGTTATCTAATTAAATATTGTCAGCACCAAGTAAGTACACCTTTTCCCCTTGTATAACTTTAGTAAAAGTGAGGCTAATAAATGATGAGGAAGTATTAACTGTAATCTATTTAAACAAACTTGTTTCCCTAGAATATTAATACAGTAATGTATTTACATGTTAGACTATTAATTCACCTGTTAAGTTCTTTGTCATTGTAGAAAAATATTAAAATGAACTCATGCAACATGTCAAAGATGACAAGCAAATTCAGGCAATAATTGAATGTGGGTTCTGCTGATGATTTTAACTTGAGAGTCACTTTTCTTTCTTAGAAACTTTCAATTGTGTTTGTGTCCTTCTAGTGCTGCTAGTGATCCATTAATTTTCAGAAAAGAATACAACTAATGTTTAATTATATATGTAGTAACATAAACTATCTTGTTTTAACAGGATTGGAGAATTCATGTTGACCAAATGCACCAGCATAAAGAGGGAATTGAAACGTCTCTTAAAGAGACAAAGGTACTGCTTTATTTCAATATAAAGTTGTATAATCTCTTAATCTTTATATCACCAAAGAGTTTTGTTAAATAAATTTGTAGGCTCAAGTTGAGGCTCAACTGAATGCTAGCTGACTTGCTTTGTTGGAAAATATTGTGCTCCTGTGTGGCTAAACTATTCCAGTATTAAACTAGTGGATGTACATTTAAAACGGACAATGAAAGTAGCAACAAGAACTACATCAACGTAACAATCATGTCAAATTTATAGTCTCCTAGTATTAGGTATCGGATTGCAGCATGGAGCTGTGTTGTGAAAATCATTGCAATGCCACCAGTACAATGTTTCAATTACAAACACTTTCAAGGTGAAAGTCAGAAGATTCAGCGGGGAGTTGAGAAACAATGTTTTCACCCAGAAGGACGGTGCAGATTGATTGATTAATTGATTCATTGTCACGTGTTCCGAAGTACAGTTAAAAGTTTTGTTTACAAGCAGTACAGACGGATCATAGTAAGCAAAGATGTACAGATCAGAAAGACTTAGACAGAGGCACACAAGTTACATTGCACAGAGTGAGCACTAGGTGAGGTCAATGTTAGCAAGATCAGCATTATTTGAGGCTAGAGAGTCCATTTGTCATCTAATAATGGCTGGGAAGAAGCTGTTCTTGAACCTGCTCCTGTGTGTGTTCAGGCTTCTGTATCTTCTGCCTAACGGAAGAGGTTGTAGGAGATCATTACCGGGGTAGGATGGTATTTGATGATGTTGGCCACCTTTCCACAGCAATGAGCCATGTAAATGGAGTCCATGGATGGAAGGTTGGTTTCCATGATGGTCTGGGCTGTGCACACCACCTTCTGTAGTTTTTTACTGTCCTGGGCAGAGCAGTTGCCATACCAGGCCGTTATGCACCCGGACAGTATGATTTCAGTGGTGCATCTGTAGAAGTTGGTGAGGGCCCTTATGGACATGCCAAATTTCCTGAGCCATCTGAGGAAGAAGAGGTGTTGTTGTGCCTTCTTGACTGTCACATCTACGTGGGAAGTCCAGGACAGGTTGTTTGTTATCGTCACTCTGAGGAACTTGACGCTCTCCATCCTCTCAACCTCAGTTACATTGATGTAGATGGGGGCGTGTTCTCCTCCTTTCTTTCTGAAATTAGTGATCAGTTCTTTCGTTTTGCCGATGTTGAGAGAGAGGTTGTTTTCATTGCACCACATCTCCAAGCCCTCTTTGTCCCTTCTGTATTTTGACTCATCATTGTTAGATATCCGTCCCACTATGGTGGTGTTGTCAGTGAACTTGTAGATGGCGTTCATTCAGAATTCGGCAACACAGTCATAGGTGTACAGGGTATGCAGTAGGGGGCTGAGGATGCATACTTGGTGGCTCCAGTGTTGAGTATTATTGTGGAGGAGGTGCAGTTACGTATCTTCACTGATCGCAGTCTGTGGGTCAGAAAGTTGAGAATCCAATTGCAGAGGGTGGAGCCGAGACCAAGGTCACACGGTTTTGAGATCAGTCTGGAGGGAATAATGGTGTTGAAGATGGAGATGTAGTCAATGAGCAGGAGTCTCTGACGTAAGTGTCTTTGTTGTCCAGATGTTCCAAGGATGAGTACAAGGCTAGGGATATGGCATCCGCTGTGGACCTATTAAGTCGGTAGGCAAATTGTAGGGAATTGTAGGCTTGTAAGCTGGGAGGAGGAATACAACGCTGTGATCTGATTTTCTGAACTGTGGGCCGGAGATGGAGCGGTATGGTCTGGAATGCACTGTTTGTGTAACCTCACAACTTCTAAAAAGTACTTGGTTGAACAGTTGAAATGTCATAACATTCATGGCTACGGGCCAGTTTCTGGAAAGTGGGACTAGTGTAGATTTAGCATAGTTTTAGCAGTGCACTTGATCAGCTGAAGGGCCTCTTCTGTACTGTATGATTCTGGATTCTATTCAAATGGTATCTCATACCAACTCATTAGTAGACCAATGTGACCAACTATCTCCACTGAATATGTTGCTTCATTATAAGGAACAGATTGGGAATGAGCTGCTCTCTGCAGGAAACTACTCCTTTTTCACTCAGCCTAATGAAAGATAGCCTGGCTATAGGCAGCCAAAAGTGCAAACTCAGTCATTTTAACTGTGGAATGGTAGAGGGTACAACAAATGACCATGCCTAGTGTCTCTTAAACAAGCATAAATGTAGCTGCAGGTGAGGATGTGCACGTCCACTGAATGGGTGCTTATTTTGTCTCCCAGGTGGATTTTCCAGAGGTCACATGGTTGTTTCAAAGATACAGAATGGTTAAAATGTGTTAGATGCCGATTTAAACCCCTTGACCTTTTTGACTTGTAGTTTATCTCCAGCTTTACCATTTTTTATTTTCCAATTTTGTTGTACCACTTATGCGTTCAAAAATAAAATGGTACCAAGTCTTTTACCTTTAGTATATGTCACTTTTTTTTTTTCCTTGCGTCTCTCTTAGTTTAATGTTGCTGCTTATAGTACCACAGTACCATGTTTTGAGTTTCCTTTTTGAGGTATCACCTCGTGTTGAGTTGGTGTCCCTTTTAACTTGCCATTAATCATCCTTTTTTTTGTAAGTAATGCATTAAAAATGCTTACTTCCTGGTGACACCTTATAGTCTGGAGGCAAGCTAGTCTGGCAGCAGTGTGCCTTGGATTTTGCCATTTTAGTTAATAGGTAAGAGTTATTGCGTGTAGAAAGAAACACCTTGCATCAGACTCTCCATATGTTCCAAAGCACATCACAATCAAGTCATTATTATTCTGCTGGTAAATGCAATTGGCCACATATGTATAGCAATCTTAAGTTAAGTAAAGCATAGTAAGATGGAAATATATTCAATCAATTGGCATTCTGTTTTATTTTTGTAAAAGTGATTTTTTTTTAAACCTACCAATTTTTTTTTCTCCTGTAAAGGGATTAATTTGGGGTTAATAAATAGTTTCATGTAAACTTGTATGCTTGTTTTTTTTATTTCTAGTTGATTGACCTTCACTGAATTTGCTTTTATCTGACAGAGTTACTTGGACAGACTTCAAGATGAGATTAGTCGAACACTAGAAAAGGTCAGCAGCAGAGAGAAATATGTTAACAACCAGTTGGAGAATTTGATTCAGGATTTCCGTGCTGTTCAGGCCCAACTAAATGAGGTAATCTGCCATGTTTTCTTTAATGTAGCAGTTCTTAATTTTAATTCCTCATATATATTTTATAAATCAGTTGAATTTTCTTGTAGGCCAAAGATCGATACCAGCAAGCAAGTGGAGGTGTAACAGAACGAACCCGACTTCTGTCTGAGGTAGAATTACTATTAAAAGAAAAATTATTAGTCAGTTTATGTTTTGATCTAAAGATTTTTCTTACTCTTGTATGGAATTTGTTGGCAAGGCTGGCTTTTGTTGCTCATACTTAATTGCCCTTGAGCTGAGCTTGATGGGCCATTTCAGAGGGTAGTTAAAAGGCCAATCCAAGTTAGAACAGCAGATTTCCTTCCCTAAAGGACAGTAATAAACTAGATGGGTTCTTATTCTTGTTTTTCTCCTCTCACATAAAAGGACTGATTTTCTCAGTGTAAAGACTTATATAATATCCACTTATTAAAATTACTTGACCTCTGGATTACTAATCCATTGATATTGTCACGAGCACCACCTATTTTATTTACCTGGAGGAAACTTAATAGCTTTTATTTATTTGAAATACCCTATTTTTTCCCTTCCCTCGGTAAGTAAACACATTGTATGATATGCAGCTAACAAACTAGATCCAAATTTTAATTCCTGATCTGTGCACAACTAATTGATCTCAACAGAGCCAACGGTGTGCACATCATTGGTTTGTCTCACTATCCTTAGCCAGTGTAGGAAACTGATAGATAAGATTTCAAACTCCTAATCACAACCCACTGTCACGTGTTGGAAAATACATGTTTGGAATGTGTAGTGACAACAGGATTCTGTTTGACTATGTTATTCCTTATGGAGAAAAAGCTGGTAGTTGTGTATTTTGTCACTCATGCTTGAAGAATGTGTGGTTTCATGATTACACCAATAAGATATGAATCAATGCCTTAAATAGAATGTGGAAGTAAAATTAGAGAAGTTAAAAATTGAGAATTATTATTCCTGCCAAGCCTAGTAGCTTTTATTTCAATAAATTTGAAAACTACTTCATATCATTTCAATTAAAAATAATTTTACAGAGATCTTTTTCAATATTTTGTGTTTAACCTTTAAGATTAGTGAAGAATTGGAAAAGGTGAAACAAGATATGGAAGAAAAGGGCAGCAGCATGACTGATGGAGGTAACTAAATGGCAGCAAGCTAATCTTTTCATATTAGATGTTAACAGTTTATAGGTTTTTATTATGAGAGGACATACAACAATAAGGTGATCATCAAAGCAGGAAGTAAAGAGAATTCTTTTAGAGGGGTGTTAGGAATGGAATATTTTGCAAAAACAGCGATGAAAGCAAATTTTAAAGTATTTAAAAGGAGTAAGTACGGTTTGAATAAAGAAAAAAGTGTATTGTGTATGGTCGTGGAATAGGATTAAATGGATAGTTCTTTCAGAAAACTAACATAGGTCTCCTGCAAACAGTTTTGGAGAAATTTCTCTTGATTTCTCCTTGAAGGTGAACCAGAAAAACCTCAGACAAGATACAGTAGCAATCCTCAATGTTGAGCCCTGACCAAATTACCTTTCTTTAGTCCCAGTAACACCAGAACTTCTAGTTTTATTTTAATTCATTCATGGAACTCAGGCATTGGTGCTGGCCAATGTTTATTACCCTTCCCTAGTTACCCTTGAGAAGGTGATAGTGAGCTGCCTCTTAAACCACTGCAGCCTACGTGCTGTAGGTTGACTCTCAATTCCATTAGGGAATGTCAGGATTTGACCCAGCAACAATGAAGGCATGGCGATATATTTCCAAGTCAGGATGGTGAGTGGCTTAGAGGGGAACTTGCAGATGATGGTGTTCCTATTTTTCTGCTGTCCTTGTCCTTCTAAATGGAAGTGGCCATGGGTTTAGAAGGTTCTGTCTAAGGATCTTTGGTGAATTTCTGCAGTGCATCTTGTAGTTCGTACACACTTCTGTGACTGAGTGTCAATGGTGAAGGGAGCAGATGAGGTGCCAGTAAAACAGCTGCTTTGTCCTGAATGGTATCAAGTTTCTTGAGTGTTGTTGTTGTTGTTGAAGCAGCACTCATCCAGGCAAGTGGGGAGTATTCCATCACACTCCTGACTTGTGCCTTGTAAATGATGGACAGACTTTGGTGAGTTAGGAGGTGAGTTACTCACTGCAGTATTCCTAGCCTGTTACCTACTCTTGCAGCCACTGTGTTTATATGGCGAGTCCAGTTGAAAATCTGGTCAAAAGTAACCCCAAGATGTTGATAGTGGAGAATTCAGTGATGGTAACACCATTGAATGAAAAGGGAGATTGTCTCTTATTGGAGATGGTCATTTTATGACATCTGTATGGCGTGATGTTACTTGCCTTTTGTTAGCCCAAGTTTGGATATTATCCAGATTTTGTTGCATTGGAACATGGACTACTTCAGTATCTGAGGAGTCCTGAATGCTGCTGAACATTGTGGAATCATTGGTGAACATCCCCACTTCTGACTGACCTTAGGTTGGACGGAAGTGTCCAGTTCTGTTCTCCCTGTTATAGGAAGGATATTATTAAGCTGGAGAGTATTCCAAAGAGATTTACCAGGATGTTGCCGGGAATGGAGGGTTCGAGTTATAAGGAGAGGCTGGATAGGCTGGGACTTTTTAACTGGAGTGTTGGAGGTTGAGAGGCGATCTTAAGTTTAGTGGTCCACTAATATCTGAAGAAGAAGTAAGATTCCGAAACCTTGTGTTTTCAAATAAACCTGTTGGACTATAGCCTGGTGTCATGTGATTTCTGACCTTGTCCACCCCAGTCCAACACCGGCACCTGCATAATATCATTGAGGATGGGGATGTTTGTGGAGCCTCCTCCTCCAGTGAGCCATTATCATCTTAAGATGCTCTTTTAAGTATTTCTGTCTCATAGGGGCTTCCTCCCAGCTTTTATTAACTAACTTACCCTCTTATTTATTAGTCACAAGGTTTAAGGCAATTATATATCAATGTTTAGACTGTCTTGAATTTATTGTCTGCATTCAAGTAAATGTTTAACAATATAATGGTGAAATACGGTGCTAAATATACTTGCTAAACATGTAGTTATTATACAATAAATGGAATAATTCACTAAATTAATTGTCACTAACATTTTTAGCTCCATTAGTGAAAATCAAACAAGCATTGACTAAACTTAAGCAAGAGATAACTCAAATGGATATTCGAATTGGAGTTGTGGAGCATACCTTGCTACAGGCCAAGCTGAAAGAGAAATCGAACATGACCAGAGACATGCATGCTACCAATATTCCCGAAACTACAATAGGTGGTTATTGACATTTTATATTGGTCCAAATTATAATATTTACTTCATTTGTTTGTTCTCAAATGGAAAATTACAGAATTTTTGTGATCTAACCAAAGAATCAAAAATCAGCATTTGATAAGATTTTGGATACTTAGACCAAGTTCAACTGCAGCAAATCAGTAATTGATCATTTTTACACACTGTTACAGAAATCATTTGTACATATTTATGTCTGTAAATTGATGAAAACTGAGTTTAAAAATGCCATTGTTTCTTTCATTAAAACATAGTACTTTATTAAGCAACAGCCTTGCATTGCAATACTTGCCATGAGGACCTTGTTTTCTAATTAGTGGGTGTAAGTGCAGATTTATTTTTTGAATACTCACATTCCATTGTTATTGACAACACAACCAATATATCTTTTAAATAGTAACTTGTTAGAAATGCTTAATATCTCTTAAGTTTCTCCAAGGCCTGAATTTAGAGCATATGGCTTGTATAAAAATATGTTCAATCTCTAATCACGTGGAGCATGCATGCTACCAGCAGCAGAGAAAACAAATCTTAAATACAGTATTAAATGCATACAGATTAAATGAAATGGCTTACAAGGTAGTAATTCAATCTCTGGATTTATTGCCATTAATTGTTTTAGATTTTCCCTAAGCGTCAAGGTATTATTGTCTTCTAACACTCTTACGATTGAATGTTTTTTATTACATACATATCTTCATATTTATTTTAACACTACGTTTATGAACTGGTCCTATTTCAATGTTCTAACGTACAGTAAATTGTGCAAACGTTTGCACTGACAGATACTGTGTATGGTTTAACATTTTCTTGCATACAATGCAGATATGAGCATTTTATGTGAGCCTTGTGTATTTGTAAAACTGTAATCTTTGAATAAAATAAACTTTATTTTATCCGTAAGCTTTTGTTTTAAACTAATTCTACCTCTGACTTTTTTGAAAAGTGCATTAATATTGTACAAACCAACTGCTGAAAAATTAACATCTTATTAATGTAGGAGCAAATTATTGCAGATGCCAAAATCTGTACTGAAAACAACAAATGCTGGAGATCACTGCGGGTCAAACAGCATCCTTAGAGAGAGAGTAAGCTAACGTTTTGCGTCTAGATGACTCTTCATCAGATGCTCCATGGATGCTGTCTGACCCACAGTGATCTCTAACATTTGTTGTTTTCAGAACATCTTATTAATGTTTGTTTCATTTGTGGAGACCTGTATCACTTCCGTTGCACAATTGCCTACAGGCATGAAATTATTTATTATATTTGCCTTCTAGCATCATACAATTATTCAGATAACTATCTAAATACATCTTCCATTCTCATTCTTTACATCTCTTGAAAACTCTCAGCCTAATTTTACTTGTCTACAAGTTCCACTCTTTGTAAGTCATGCGTTGCTTCTCTTCTGGATATCCCTCACATGTTTTCCTGCGTGTCTTGTAATGTATCTCTGCTGTATGCAGAATTGCATATTTATGATTCATCACTGCTAGCGAGCATATTGGCTTCTCCTAAATGTTGTGTTCAGAATCTCAGATTAAAAGATTTTGTCCAGTGCAGGCAAATTGCATTTTCCTTTTGTATAAGAATGATGACCTTACCACTCAATGTTGTAAAGGCTGCTTTACATTCGGTTCAACAGTTTGCATTGTTTTACACGTCTATGTTAAGTGGCAGGAAAATTATTTCCTCTGCAACTTGCTGAATTAGTATTGTTTTGCTGATCTAAGTACTGATGAATATTATAATTGCCTGTACTGACTCTTGACATTTAATTCTCTCTCCCCATTTGTGGGTTATTTAGTTTGTATAAATATCTCCTTGCAAAGTAGCTTTGAATGATGAAGTAGTAGCGTCATATTGAATGTAAGGTTTCGAAGGTTTTTTTTATAAAAGCTGATATATAAATAAAAATACAGATTATGTAAATTGTAAGTCTGAAATCAGATTTGGAAAAATACAATTTTTATCAATGGACTAATATTGTTCACAGAGAATGCATGTAACTCAAAAGTACAAAATTTAAAAACCATAAGGCAGGTGGACTGCTTAAATAGTAATGTAAAAATACAATATGTAGACAGCTGAATTTAATAAAGTATTAATCATGATGGGACTATAGGTGCAAATACATTGAGTTTAACAGGAATTAATGCAATTTCTATTTCATGTATTTGCTGTTTGTTAGAGTGCATAAAGTGTATGTCATTATTTATGTAAGTATAAGAATATTTAATTTTATCAACCAGTAATTATAATTCCCTGTCTTTTGCTTTTGTAAGTACTGCAGTATCTTTCACCAACAATGACATTTCTGAATGTAATGAGGGTGAAATAGTATAGCCCATGCAGTACTGCTATGTTTCACTTTTGCACCCTATTGTCCACGAAATAAGTAGCATCCACTCTGGTCTTCCAGAAAATCACAGATTCCACTAGCATTTCGAGTCATTTGTAACCCAAGCCGCTCACATTAATTTTAGGCAATCATTTCAGGATAAGGCATGGCCATGTGATCCCCTTTGCCTAATGCTTTAACGGGAATGAATTTGGAGAGCATAGAAAGTCCACAAGAAATGCCAGTCACTAAAGTAAACGCCAACCTCCACGATGCACTGCTCTCCCCTTGCCAACGCTTCCTCTCTGTTAGCTTCAGCACAGAACAGCGTGGCTGACAGGGATAATGCAGTTCGAATTCTCGGAAGCTGTTGCTAGGACACCGACACACGCAGCGTTCCGAGAGGTGGGGCCAGGGACGGAATGTTATTTTTTAAGCCCACCAGCAGCTGCTGCTGGAAATGGAGTGAGAGCACAGCCGGAGGGGATGAAACGACGGGTCAACCCGGCAGAATGTGGGAACCGCTCAAATTCATAACGAGCCTTCACTTTTCAAAGCCAAACAACATAACGAGTCAAAAAGTTTTCAAACACATCCTGGTAGTTGTGATCATCGTCGCGGCTTTTGCCTATGTGTCCCTCCTTTCTGCGCGAGTGTCAGGTATGTACTTAAAGTTGTCAGTGTTTTCACGTCCGACCCTGACCGGACACAGCCCCCGCCGATTAGACTGCGGTATAGGATGCGGATGGGAGGCAGGACGCCTACAGGGAGCGCAAACAGCGACATAAAACAGAGACAACAAGGTGCAGGGCTGGATGAACACAGCAGGCCAAGCAGAAGTGTTTTCCAGTAGTCTGCTCAGATGTCCAGTGTCAGCAGTAACTAACCAGCCTTTGGGTAGGCCAGAAGCTGGGACTCCTATGGTACAGTGTCACTGTCCCTACTTTTGAGCCCGGAGACGACTTCCAGAGGTGTATTATAACATCTCTGAACTGTTTGATTAGAGAATATCCAGAAGCTGCTAGGTCTTATGTGGTGTGCTGTTTTCTGTAATTCTGTGAAAAATATATGAAACAGTTAAATTGATGTATATAATAATAACTGTTCATCACCAAAGTTGATAATATTATCGGCCACTTGTTTTAAAAATCAACAAGACTACATTTTAATGATTACCTTTCTGAAAAGAGAATTTTGAAAAATTATGCCTGAAGGACCCAATTTCACCAACAAATTAGATTTTTGTAGGAGGGAGCGCATTTAAAAAGTTTTTGGAGGGGGGAAGGTGTGACAAGTTTTTGTCATTCCTCTTGTTCCTGACAGAGTTCCAGTGTTTTGACTCAGTAATAATGAAGGGATGTCGATAAAGTTCGAAGTCAGGCAGATGGAGAACTTTGAAGGGGTGGTGTTGCCTTGGCTTTTTTTTTGCCTTGTTCCATCTAGTTGGTCGAATATGCAGGTTTGGGAAATGATATTGAAGAGGTCTTGGCGAGTTGCTGCTGTGCATTTTGTAGATATTGTTCACTGAAGGTGATGAGTAGCCATAGTGGAAGGAGTGTACGTTCAAGGTGCTGGATGGGGTGTCAATCAAGCAGGCTGCTTTGTACGGGAGGATGCTGAGCTTTCGAGTGTTAGAGGTGCATCTCCTAGGCAAGTGGGGAGTATTCATTCGCACTTCTGACTTATACTTTGTAATTGGTGAGCCAGATTTGGGAAGTCAGTAAGTGTATATACTGCAGTATAACTGCTGTTCTATCCAGAGTATTTGTGTGTTGGTTCAGTTACATTTTGAATCATCGATGACCCTGGACGTTGGCATGCAATCTGTAAAAATATCAATTAGCCTGATTCTGAGCCTTTACATTTGATGCCTCTGAAGTCAAGATATTTACAGCCTTGCAGGCGGATGAGCTGGAACCGGGATCCCAGTCGCGAACCATTTCAACTCCCCCTCCCATTCCTCAGACGACATGTCCATCCTGGGCCTCCTGCAGTGCCACAACGATGCCACCCGAAGGTTGCAGGAACAGCAACTCATATTCCGCTTGGGAACCCTGCAGCCCAATGGTATCAATGTGGACTTGACAAGCTTCAGATCTCCCCTATTGAATCCCAAAACCAGCCCAGCTCGTCCCCGCCTTCCTAACCTGTCCTTCCTCCCACCTATCCCCTCCCACCCCAAGCCGCACCCCCATTTCCTACCTACTAACCTCATCCCGCCCCCTTGACCTGTCCGTCCTCCCTGGACTGACCTATCTCCTCCCTACCTCCCCACCTACACTCACCTTTACTGGCTCCATCCCCGCCTCTTTGACCTGTCTGTCTCCTCTCCACCTATCTTCTCCTTTATCCATCTTCTATCCACCTCCCCCTCTCTCCCTATTTATTTCAGAACCCCCTTCCCCTCCCCCAATTCTGATGAAGGGTCTAAGCCCGAAACGTCAGCCTTCCTGCTCCTATGATGCTGCTTGGCCTGCTGGTTCATCCAGCTCTGCACTTGGTCTCCTGCACTGGTTGCAGTCCACTCACGCTGTGAGTCTCACTGCGCAGATCCCACTTCTGAGCTTTCCGCAAGTGCACTGTCCATGCCTGAGCTGGCGGTTGTGAATATGACTGGATGTGTATTGATCGGTCTCTTCCCTCTTGCACATTTTGGAATGACAATCTTTGATGAGGGTTGCTGAGCAATACTTGTGACACTGTGATATGATGTGGATGAGTATTAGTAATGGATGGTGTGATGGGGTTGTCAGGAAGTGCCAGACAGAGAGGGATGGCGCACCTGACGGGGCAGGGAATTTAACGAGTAATTTTCCGGAGGAGGTTTGGCAAAAAAAAATCGGAGGGGCTAGGGGAAGGGAGGGTGGTGTTGGTGACAGGTGTATAACGATATACTTGAAAGTGTCATGCTTGGCAAGCAGAGTGGTGGCGGGCATCCAGCTCGAGGCCGATGCCATCCATCACCTGAAAATGGTAGTGCTCAGAACTGAAGTTGTGCACCAGTTGGAGGATGCTCAGTTGTGCGCAGAATTTCACATTGGCCTCAAGATCCTGAACCTCCCTCAGGAGGCTGTGCCCCACAGCCTGAGCTGCCTACTTAGTATGTGCCTTAGTGTGTCATTTAAGGAGGCAAAACGGCAGTTCTTGTACAGACTGCTGGTGCTGCACACCATCCACCTAACTCTTACGTCTGCCGCCTGGACACACCTTGGCACACTTACCTGCTGCCAGACAGTGGGGATCCCCAGCGGAGGGCTCTCTGCACTGGAGCTCTCCCTCTTTCCATCGGGGACCTGGAGTGGAGGGTGTTGCATGCAGCACTCCCTTATAACCACAGTTTGTGGCCATTCACAGATGCCCAGCCTAACTGTTTATTTTGTGGCACCGTGGACCACGTGTATATTGGTTGTGGGCATTTGCACTCCCTTTTTAATTATTTGGGAAGCTTTTTGTTGTGTTTTTAGTTGCACTTCAGCCCCACACTCCTGATCTTTGGATACCCGGTGCGGAGGGGTGTGGGCAGATTGGAGGAGCTCCTCCTGGGCCTGGCCAGGGCTGGCAATAAACTGGTCAGGCAGCGGGCTTTGGAGGATGTCATGTCTGCAAACTGCCTGCCCCTGTCTGCAGTTAGGTTTGAGCCCTGGTGTCATTGGAGAGGAATCACACGTTATCCACCAAAGCTCTCGACGCCTTTATGGAGAGGTGGGCACCGCGGGGATGGTCTGCTTTATTTCACCCTCCAACTCGATTTTGATTTAGTCCCTTTCTTCTATCCCTAACCACCTTCCTCCCCCCACCCCAACTTCACATTTTAAAGACAGCATTGATTGCCCTTAATAGGCTTTGCCTGTTAATGTTCAGTTGGCCACATGGATGTTTTTCTGGTGGTGGAAGAATGAAAGTTTATGCTACTTATCTTTCCCGTCCTAAATCAAGTAATTAAACCTCTTCTCGCACTTTATCCAGACGCGTAGCATTACACTTCCTGCTGCTGATCTCTTGAGCAATTTGCAGTCTTATTGCCTTTGCTTCCGTTACCCATGGGCAGGTGAGCAGCATCTCCGCCCGGCAGCATCTCCCTTACAGATTGTAGCAACATCTTTCGAGAGGCAACAAGCTTGCGAACTTGTTGGTCGGTTGCTGCAAGTTAATGATAAAAACAAGTACATACCTTCGAGTTCTAGCCCTTCTAAGGAGCTGACGTGAAATAGACTGGTGCCCGTTGTCATTCCTCCTGTTTATGCTATTTTGGTTTTGGCAAACTCGGAAGACAGAAGCGAATAAACTTTGCCGTAATAAACGGCAGTAGTGAAACACCAGGCTCTCTCGCACACTGTCGGTTATCCCATTGTTAGTGGATCGATAACTTGAAATCCAGCTCAGTTTGTGTGGTTTGTGTGGTTTGTGTATGAATTTACCGAGACAGGATACAAACTACATATTACTTTTAGCCTTTCGAAGAACTTTAATACAAAATTTATTACCATGTTAGGCACATGTCAGCAACCATAGAGTCAGAGTCAAAGAGTCCTACAGCATGGAGACAGGCCCTTCGGCCCAAACATGTCCGTGCCAATTAAAATGACCATCCATGCTAACCCCATTTCCCTGCACTTGGCCCATATCCTTCTAAATGTTTCCTAGCCATGTATTGGTTCAAATGCCTCTTAAATAAGGGCAGCATGGTGGCTCAGTGGTTAGCACTGCTGCACTCACAGTGCCAGGGACCCACGTTCGATTCCACCCTCGGGCACATTCTCCCTGTGTCTGCATGAGTTTTCTCCAGGTGCTCTGGTTTCCTCCCACAGTCCAAAGATGTGCAGGCTAGGTGGATTGGCCATGCTAAATTGTCTGTAGTGTTCAGGGATGTGTAGATTAGGCAGATGGTTCTGGATGGGATGCTCTGAGCATCATTGTGGACTTATTGGGCCAAAGGGCCTGTTTCCACACAGTAGGGATTCTATGATTAAAATGTTGTTAATGTACCCACTTCAACTACTTCAGCTGGCAGTTCATTCCATATGTGTACCCTGCTCTGTGTAAAAAAAGCTGCCCCTCAGGTTCCCATGTATTCTTTCCCCTCTTACCTTAAATTGATACCCTCTAGTCCTTGATTCCCCAACCCTGGGAAAAAAACTGAGTGCATTCACCATATCCATGCCTCTCATGATCTTATACACTTCTCTCAGGTTCCCCCCCCCCCAGTCTCCTACACTCTAAAGAAAAAAGTCTAGCTTGTCCAACCTCTCCCTATAACTCAGTCCCTTGAGTCCTGGCAACATCCTTGTAAATTTCTTCTGCACTCTTTCTGGTTTAATAACATCATTCCTATAGCAAGGTGACCAAAACTGAACACAATACTCCAAATGCAACCTCACTAATGTCCTGTACAACTCAAACATAACTTCCCAACTTCTCTACTCAGTGCTCTGACTGATGAGGGCCAGTGTGCTAAAAGCCTTCTTCACTGCCCTGTCTACCTGTGACTCCATTTTCAGAGAACCGTGCACCTGAACTCCAAGGTCCCTCTGTTCCACTACACTCCTTAGGGACCTACCATTCACCATGAAACTCCTACCTTGATTTGACTTTCCAAAATGCAACATCTCACACTTATCTATATTAAACTCCATTTGCCACTTCTTGGCCCACTTCCCCAG